GGGGGGGACCATTAGTCTGCCGCAGCCGGTCCCATGGCCGATGCATTGACGTCAGACGTAACCGCCATTTCACCGCCGAACTCCCAAAATCAGTCGGCACCTGCTGCATGGGCAGGGTAATAACTACGCCCGGACGTCCCAGTTGTTCGACAGTCGAGGGGCAGGTCCTCGACGTTGCTGACGACGTTGCTGTGCCGCGAGAAAAATGAAAACAGACACACGGCTCGCTCACGCACGTATACACGTACCTCCGTGTTCTAGTAAACATGACGCGCCTGTTCCGGAAACGGCGAAGAAACGGGAGATCAGGGAAATCATATTGAACATCCCTATATCGAACTCAATAGGTGGGATTCCATGCGGATGGTTTGGTGGTTGCCAACAAACATCCTGACCCAATTTTTGGACAAAGGGCGGGCGGGCGGATGCCCCGGGGCCGCGATGCGCGTCGTAAAGTGCCGCTAACGGTCCAGTAGCGCGGGGTCTACAGGGACTTGCATGGCCGTCACCGCAGCAAAGACCGACCAGCCGAGGCGAAGCCCCCCAAAAAACTGTGAAAGATATGCAGCCAACGGCTCACAGGGCTGATTTCAAAAGAGCAAAATATGTAAGCGCCACCATTCAGCTCAGCTCTACTTTTGGTGGTGGCAGGGTTGTGACGACGTCGCAACGACACCCGCGCGGGGAACATGGGTTGGATCAGCCTCCGCTGCAGCAGACAGCTTGACGGCGACCTGGGCGCGACCCAGCCGGACCCCGGCAGTGTCACTCGCCGTCGCGGCGGCGAGGCCAACTTTGCTGCCACCACCCACGAGTTGTTTGGTTCAGTCCCCCTGGCAGTCAAGACAATATTCCGATACAATATCGGCCGGTTGGTGCCAGCCAGCGGGGCGGGGGATCGGCGAGCTGTCAGGCTCCCGGCATACGCCTGCCAATGCCGCAGACCCCCCGCCCACCCGGTGTAGGCTCGAGCTCGGCAGGTCAAGCCGGGGTCAAGGGGGAGTGCCTCCCGACAGCACGCCCAGCAGGGCTGCCAGCATCAGGACTAACAGTGGCAGGACCAGCAGCAGGACTACCAGCAGGACTACCAGCAAGACTACCAGCACGGCTACCCAGCAGGACTGCAGCACGTTGTTGTGCTGTTCCTGTTGCGCCGCGCCGGGAGGGCCTGACTGTGGTTTGTGGTCCGAGCCGAGCCCCGCCACGCCCCGCCACGCCCCGCCACGCCCCGGCTGTTGGACCTTGCTGGACCATGAGGCTGCGGAGTCGTTGGGTTTCTCCGAAGTTGATGGCCTCCTTCCCTGAACGACATCCTCTCCTCATAGCGGGGCAGCGGGGCCCACTCGAACGCCTCAGAGAGGGACCACGGCGGCGGCGACGGGGTGGGGGCCCCCGTGCCCAGGTGTCCGGCGCCACCGTGGCCCGGCCCAACGCGGCTCTGGGTCACATTGGCCGGGTCATGGTGGTTGGGGGACCAGTCCGGCGCGACCTGCGGCCTCAGCTAGGATGTCAACCGAACACTGTCAAAAGTACTCGCAGGTTTGACGGGACATTTTTCCGTGAGAAAGTAAACGTACAGTTCCGAATAAAAATATATTATCAAAAAACTTATACTTCG